GATCGGTGTTGGCGAACCAGGCATATTTGAGGGAGACGGTGGCGTGAGTACGATAAGCGCCTCTGACGGGTCGCTGACACCCGCATCATTATGAGCGATCAAGCGGAACTGATACTGATGATTGCTGAAAAAAAAGGAACAGTACATTTTCCGGCACAAAAAACGGATTTAAAAAAACCTGTAGAGTGGTACTAAATAATGGGAGGACGAGCGGATGGGGAAATTAATTTTACTGAAAAACATAACAATGGCTATGACAGATGGAAGAGGAAAGACTGTCGAAAATAATACATGTGAAGAAGCTAACAATGCTACTGTACCAAAGACCCCTGTGTGTGTGTGCGTGTGTGTGTGTGTTTTGTTGTAAGCTTCTGAAGAGCATTTGTGTTTAATCCCGGGGCAATAGGCCAGTAATTCAAATTAAATAAGAATACAAGCATACCTTGCAAGATCATTTATACTGGCCGATGACTGCTGCGCTCGTTCGCATACTATGGAATATTCATTTGTTCGTGCATCTGACATTTCCAGCTAAAACTTTATTATTCATAGCTTGATCCTGTGACAACTATGGTTTTACTGTTCTGTGTCTTTCTGTTTTCAAAGCCGCTGGCTTCCTTTTTATGGCTATAGCAATCAAAACTGCATCATCATAAAGACACTATTACGGTGTTGATGGCCAAAGCAATTTTTCTGCTTTCCTTACTCAACAGAAATGCGATCAGTAACTGATTGATGCATCGAATTTTCCCAGTCTTTTCGCTGATTTTGCAGTCATTTGGCTCAATTAGCAGGCTTCTGCCTAGGACAAGATTGCAGATAGACTATGTGGTCACAATGACAGACAACCCGGACGACCTTGTTATTCCTGGCAATGGCAACTTCCTAAACTTCTCTGTAGCGATTTTTACTTAAGGGGAAGAGCAGGAGCTTCGGAAGCAAGCAGTGTCAATGATGCGGTGAAGATGAAAGTATCAGTGTAAATGCTAAAATCGTTCGGCTCCTAGAGGAAGGCCTCTTTAGCATAGAACAAAAGCGAATCTCAATGCTTTACTACCGTGTATGAGTGTTGTGGCTGGGTATTCCAGGAGAGCTTGACGGATGTTGATGTCAATGAGACAAGCTGTGGACAGTGCGGCTGCTTTGGTGGATGGAACATCGCTGATGTACAAACGCTTATCGGTGCAGACGGCAACGAATCGCCATCACTGTTTGCTGCGACCAGACGAACTCGATACCGCGTTGATGGCGCCAGGCCTTTGATTCTACACTGCTCGGCCAAACCTTCATAAACCACTTCATGCTGGTCTTCATCATCTTGACGATCCTAGAAAACAAATTATAAAAAGCTGAAAGCAGCTAATAAGTTCCTGGCCTGAAACCTTAAAAGCGTGATAACTGTGTTTAAACAAAAGCCATCCATCTGCAAATTTTCAGATTTTTTACAACACTGCATCATTTCAGCAGCCTTCAGTTTCATTCATTTTGCAGTCTGCGTACTAGTGACAATGACGAGGGAAAATCAACGTTTACATAACAACTAATCCTTCAACGATTCGTTTTGAAAGCAAACTGGCATCGGTGCAAGCCAAGGAAACAATTTATCATCAGCTTGCTTCTAAGCAACCATCAAAAGAGGAAACCATCGACAGCTCTGCTAACGGATGATTACCATTGGTGCTTGCTTTCATTTCAGAAATTTCCGAATATCTCCGAAATTTTGATATAAACTAGTAGCAAGACTTACCGGAGCCAATTCTAGACGGTAACATGTGATTGGGGATCCATTATCGATAGCTGGGCGCCATGAAACCGTAATCGAGTTGTGCGTACGTGAAACAAGTCGTGGAGGATGTGGACATTCCGGCACTGTTGTAAGTGTTCGGAATTTGACGGCTGGCGATGGATTGCCCTGCAATCCACGTTCTTCCAGAGAGGCTCTAAGTTGAACATAGTATTCCGTGTTTGGTCGAAGGCGGCACAGGCGTACACGATTACCGGAGTCCGGCTCACATCTGGAAAGTAAGTTGCAGAGTACGAATTCTGGTATCACAATTTGAAACATTCATCATTTCTACAGTGTAGCCGAACAATGTTTTCTCACATAAATCATGCTTTTTTACATCTCACCCTTTGTGGAAAGCAGCATTACCCGCAGTTTTATAGCGCAAATCACCTTTCACAAACAACTGAGATACTGTTTTTTATGTAAACGTCCAAAACTGATCGTAGTTTGTAGGGATTACCACAGCCCAAGAATGGCAACGCTACGAATGAGGTACCGATCTTCATAAACAGTCAGGACATTCTAAAATGCCCAAAGCTCTGCCAGCTGTTTTTAGCAGGAGAACGTCCAAGCTGGTAGTTTTTTCAAAGAGAAGAAACTGGACATCACAATCACCAGCGGAATGACCATCATGCGATGCAGCATTCACCAAAGCAACCGGAAAAGTAAGCTGCTTAGACGGAGTATCTGGACCATGAATTAGAAGCTGTTCCATGTGACGACTACAAGATAAATACCAACACGCGCCAGGGCAGCCAGTGCGATTAAGCGTTTTGTGCAATTTCGTCCAACGAGCGTTTGCCTGCTAAGGATTTTCACTGCTTTGCACTTTGGCCAGTGCAAAAGTAGTCGAAATGACAAAATTTCAACTACTTTCAACTATGCGACGCAGCACTAG